GTGCCACTGCACTCCATCCAGTCTGGTGACAGAGCGAGACTCTGTTTAAAAAAAAAAAAAAAAAAGAAAGAAAGAAAAAAAAATTCTGGACAGCAGCTTCAGGACAAAGGGATTGTTGGCTGCAAATAAATAAATAAATAAATAAATAAGTAAAAGGGGGGGCTCCATAGCAATACCTTACACCTGGATAATCCCAAATTTATCAAAGATTTAAATGTAAAAAAAGAAAACCAAAAGAATACTAGAAAAAACAAGAAGAGAATTATTGTACAACTCTGGAGAAGGGCCATTCTAATCATGACCTAAAATCCAGAAGCCAGTAAAGGGCTGAGACATTGGCCTACATAAAAATTAAATTTTTTATGGATGACAAAAGTCCCCATAAGTCAAAGGGCAAATGACAAAATGAGAAAAATACCTGCAACTTGTATCACAGACAAAAACCCAAGGGCTGGGCACAGTGGCTCATACCTGTAATCCCAGATGTTTGGGAGGTTGAGGGAAGGGGACTGCCTGAGCCCAAAAACTGGAGACCAGCCTGGACAATAGAGTAAGACCCCATCTCTAGAGAAGATTTAAAAATTAGCTGGATGTGGGCTCCTGAGGTAGCTGGGATTACAGGTGCACACCACCGCACCCAGCTAATTTTTTTTTTTTTTTTTTTGAAGGCGGGTTTCTCTTTTTTTTACCCAAGTGGGAGGCAATGGGGCGAACCCGGCTCACCGCAACCTCCGCCTCCTGGGTTCAGGCAATTCTCCTGCCTCAGCCTCCTGAGTAGCTGGGATTACAGGCACGCGCCACCATGCCCAGCTAATTTTTTGTATTTTTAGTAGAGACGGGGTTTCACCATGTTGACCAGGATGGTCTCGATCTCTTGACCTCGTGATCCACCCGCCTCGGCCTCCCAAAGTGCTGGGATTACAGGCTTGAGCCACCGCGCCCGGCTTGTGTAAACATTTTAAATGGAATTTAGGTATAAAGGAGAAAAGGCTAAGGTGATACAAATTAAATGTATGCCCAACTGCAAAGCCCATCATTGTCATGCAAGCTGGGGCGGGGATGGGAAGGGGGCCCTCACTCTCCTCACCTGGAAGCAAACGCTGGCCCCATGAGGTCGCCCCGGAATCCTCCCAGCCCTGTACACCTACCTGTGGACGCCTCTCTCTCAACAGGCTCTGCTGGAGGAGGTGGCAGCTCTTCCTCCACGGGCCTGAGGGGACCGGGCCCAGGCTGGACTGAAGATACCTCTGCCAGGGCCTGTGGGGATGCAGAGGGGGAGTTGCCCAGTGAGGACCCCATGCAGCGCCCCTAGCTCTGTTCCTCATCTGGGTGGCAACAAGTACAATTAGCCCCAGTGCACTGAGAAGGGAACTAAGGCCTAGGGAGGTGGAGGTTTCCGTGAGCCAAGATCACGCCATCGCACTCCAGCCTGGGCGACAAAGAGAGATTTCATCTCAAAAAAAAAAAAAAAAAAAAAAAAACAGGTTCCCTGTGCAGCCTAAGGGATTTAGGTCAGACTCGGGGAAACATCTTCCTCAGAGCTGAAGCAGGTGTCTGAGGGGCGCTGCAGGGAGGGGGTGCATGGCAGCCTCTCCCAGGACTGTGAAACACTCAACCAATTTTTACCTGACTGAATAGGGACTCCTGAAAGCTTCAAAGAATGAATGCCCCTGAGCAGATGAATGGACCAGACAACATCCAGGTTTAGAACCCCTGAATGCTCAGAAGGCCCAGACTCCCCATCCCCCAACCCAGGGGACCAAGGGATTGCTGAAGAGGGCAGTACCTGTGGTGGGGGTGGGGGCAGGGGCAGGTGCAGCTGCTCTGAGTCTGCAGTGAGTGAGGCGCCCATTGGAGCAGGAGCCTCCTCTTCAGAAGGCAGGAGTGCTGGAGGGGGCGGTGGAGGGGGCGGGAGGAGGTCCAGATCGGGAAGTGCATCCTTGCCATCCGGGACAGGAGGAGGGGGTGGGCATCCTACAACTGGGGAGGAAAGGGCTGGTCAGAGCCTCCCAGGTGGACAGGGGAGGGTTTTACTTACCCACATGGCCATATGGAGGGTAGCTAAGGGCTCAGGTCCGGGGTCACCCTGGCCTGGGTTCCATCTCTAACTCTGTCACTGATTTGCTGTGTGTCCTTAGGCAAGAAACTTAATCTTAGGTCAGGTGAGGTGGCTCATGCCTATAATCTCAGCACTTTGGGAGGCCGAGGTAGGCAGATCGCTTGAGCCCAGGAGTTCAAAAGCAGTCTGGGCAAGATAGTGAGACCTTAACTCTACTAAAAAACAAAAAACAAATGTAGCCAGGCATGGCAGCCTGGCCATGTAGTCCCAGCTACTTGGGAGACTGACGTGGGAGGATCCCTTAAGCCCAAGAGATTGAGGCTACAGTGAGCTAAGATCATACCACTGCACTCCAGCCTGGGTCACAGAGGGAGACTCTATCCAAAAAGATACTCAAAAAAAAAAAAAAAGGCCACATGCCATGACTCATGCCTATAATCCCAGCATTTTGGGAGGCTGATGTGGGCAGATCATGAGGTCTGGAGTTCAAGACCAGCCTGACTAACATGGTGAAACTTTATCTCTACAAAAAATACAAAAATTAGCCGGATGTGATGGTGTGTGTGTGTAATCTCAGCTACTTGGGAGGCTGAGGCAGGGGAATTGCTTCGACCCAGGAGGTGGAGGTTGTAGTGAGCAGAGATCACCCCACTGCACACCATCCTGGGTGACAGAGCCAGATCCTGTCTCAAAAATAAATAAATAAATAATAAAATAAAAAAATTAAAAAAGAATAAATAAAATAAAGAAAAAGGAAACATAGTCTCTCCTCTCTGAGTCTTATTTCGTTCAGCGGAAAAATGGGCATCAGTCCCTTAGGCTGCTGAGGATGAAATGAGATGACACACAGTGAGTGGCACATGTGGCTAGGGCTCAGAGAACAGCAGCTGTGAATGCCCTGCTCAGCAAGCCCCCGCCACGGGGCCTGAGTGCTCAAGAGTGCCCCAGACCACCTGCCAGAGGCCCTCTTGGTAACAGAAGCGTAACTGACCCCCAAGGCTGTGGCTCTCCCAGCATGACCCCTGTAGTGACAGCAGCAGCATGACCCGGGAGCTTGTCAGCAATGCAACTTCTCCGCCTGCCCCAGACATGCAGAATTGGAAACCCAGGAGCTGGGGCCAGCCACATGGACCTTAAGAAGTCCTCCAGGTGATGCTGATGCTGCTCCAGTGTAGGAACAGTGCACCACCCTAATTAAGTAACAGATCCAGGCCATGACCATCAGATGTTGAAAGCACTGGGGGAAAGGTTCACGGGAAACTTTCCAAGGTGGGGTCAGGCTGTTGCCACTGAACTAACTTGTAGCCTTCGGCAGTCATGGAGTGGCGGTCCTCCTGACTCATGTGATGCTATGGGAAGCTAGAAAATGTTCTTCAACAAACAAACAAAACCCCTCCATCTAATCGAGTCTCTGGAGTTAACTTCCATTAACAGATTCGGGAGGCAGAGGAGGAAGTTAAATGAGAACATGGGGAAGCAAAGGGACGAAACCGGCAGGCGGGATTTCTACAAAAACCGATCTTGTTTCTGCAACAAGCCCATGGCATGAGGGAGGAAAACAGGGAGGACTGCCCCCGAATTAAGAGACTTAAGAGAAAAATGCATAGATTTGTGCTGTCCAATGTAGTGGCCACCAGCCACATGTGGCTACTGATTACTGGAAACGTGGAGAGACCACGCTGAGCTGTGGTAGATGTCTTAGCACGCAAAAAAGCACCCCATCCTGGGACCACAGGCACCCACCAACACACCCAGCTATTCTTTTGTATTTTTAGTAGAGACAGGGTCTTGCTATGTTGCCCAGGGTAGTTTTGAACTCTTGAGCTCGAGCGATCTGTCCACCTTGGCCTCCCAAAGTGCTGGGACTGCAGGCATGAGCCACTGCACCTGGTCTAAATGGCATTTTTATGACAATCAAGGAAACTTAATTTTGGACAAAGTATTAGATATGCAGCATGCATTTTTGTTAAATGTGGCACTGTTTGGCACTGTGGTTACGTAAGAAAATGGCTATATTTAGAAAGACAGCCCTGACCAATGTGGGGCTGAAATGCCACAATGATTCGGGTTTCCTGTAAAATACTTTACAAGGCTGGGCATGGTGGCTCACGCCTGTAATCACAGCACCTTGTGAGGCCGAGGCGGCCAGATCACGAGGTTAGGAGATTGAGACCATCCTGGCTAACACGGTGAAACCCTGTCTCTACTAAAAATACAAAAAATTAGCCAGGTGTGGTGGCGCACACCTGTAGTCCCAGCTACTCAGGAGGCTGAGGCAGGAGAATTGCTTGAACCCAGGAGGCAGAGGTTGCAGTGAGCTGAGATTGGGCCACTGCACTCCAGCCTGCAGACAGAGCGAGGCTCTGTCTCAAAACAACAGCAACAAAAAACTATACAAAAGAAAAAGAAAAAAAGGAATAGAAACAAATGTGGCCAAGTCTCCATTACTGTTGACACCAGATGTAGGCGGCCGGGCGCGGTGGCTCATGCTTGTAATCCAAGCACTTTGGAGGCCAAGGCGGGCGGATCACCTGAGGTCGGGAGTTCAAGACCAGCCTGACCAACATGGTGAAACCCCGTCTTTAAAAAAAAAAGAAACCAGATGTAGGCTAGGTAGGGTCCTTGTACTGTTCTCTCTGCATATGTTTGAAAGTTTCATAAAACCACACCTTCACGTTCCATGCTCACCCAGCCACCCATACCCCCAATGCACCACAGACACCCTGGCACAAACTCACTTCCATTATTGGCACAGCTCTGCTCCTGCTCCCAGGAGCTGAGGTTGGCAGAATAGGAGGGCACAAGAGCTGCCCTTGATCCTGATGGCTAGTCAGGGGGCACAGACCCTCAGGGCTCCTGACAGGGAGGGAGGTGGGGGGCTCAGCTCCAGGCTCTTTCCTCCATCCAGACACCATTCAATGCTGTAACTGCCCCACCCCCCATGCCAGGCTTCCCCAACAAGGGGTTGCCTGGAGCCCCTGGAAGGCAGGAGGGAAGCCTCAGAGGGAGGCTGGGACCATGCCTGTGAAAGCCCTCTGTCTACTGCCCATATTGGGTGGGCACTGTGAATAGTGCCCTGGGGAGAAAACGGCACTCTGCCTACCTCCTGGTACAGGTAAGGCCAGGCCCAGGAGCTCAGCCTAACTGAGATGATCGTGGAAAGCAGATAGAAAGTGCTAGAGACCCCTGAACGTCCAGGCCTGGCTGTAGCCCAATCTCCAGTTCATTCATGGGGGCACCCTCCAGTCTTCAGGTTTCTCATCCGTTCAATCAAGACAACCTCCCGCTCCCCGCCTCTCCCTGGGCTTGGAGGGATGTACAGATGGGAAGTTGGTTCTATGCCTGTGGTCCTCACACTTGAGCTGGTGACAGAATCCCCTAGGGGATGGGGGCCTTGCTCAAAGGCAGATCGCTGGGCCCTAACCCCAGAGTTTCTGATCCAGCAGATCCAGGACAATGAGAATGTGTGTGTCTGATGAGTTCCCAGGTGACACTGATGCTGCTGGCCCAGGGGCCACACTCTGAGGCAACTCCCAGCCCCAAAGTCCCACCTGCTTGACACCACTGAACCCCAGCCCCAAAGTCCCACCTGCTTGACACCACTGAACTACTATAACGGTTCTCTTTTTTTTTTTTTTGAGATGGAGTCTTGCTCTGTCACCCAGGCTGGAGGGCAGTGGTGCGATCTCAGCTCACAGCAACCTCTGTCTCCTGCGTTTAAGTGATTCTCCTGCCTCAGCCCCCCAAGTAGCTGGGACTACAGGCATGTGCCACCCCAACCAGCTAATTTTTTTGTATTTTTTAGTAGAGATGGGTATTTAGATATGTTGGCCAGGCTGGTCTCGAACTCCTGACCTCAGGTGATCCGCCCACCTCGGCCTCCCAAAGTGCTGGGATTACAGATGTGAGCCACTGTACCCGGCCTAGAATAACAGTTGTTAAAGTGTGGTCCCCAGACCAGAGCATCAGCATGGCCTGGCAAGGGGCAAGAAATGCAAACTGGGCCAGGTGTGGTGGCTCACGCCTGTAATCCCAGCACTCTGGGAGGCCGAGGCGGGCAGATCACTTGAGCCCAGGAGTTTGAGATCTGCCTGGGCAAGATGGCAAAAACCTGTCTCTACAAAACATACAAAAATTAGCTGGGCATGGTGGTGAGGGCTTGTGGTCCCAGCTCTGGGGAGGCTGAGGTGGGAGGATCACTTGAGCCAGGGACGTTGAGGCCACAGTGAGCCACGGCCATACCACTGCACTCCAGCTTGTGTGACAGAACAAGACCCTGGAAAAAAAAATATGCAAATTTTCGGGCCCCACAGCAGACCTGCTGAATCAGAGCTACCCGGGGTGGGAGCCGGCGGCTGTGTTGGAACAGGCCTGGGCGACACTGCTGCTGACACAGCGGAAGTGTGGGAACCAGGCTCCGATGAGCTCACAGAGCCAGAAGCCAGGTCTTGGAGAGGCAGTGAGAGTGCTGTGGCCTCTCCCAGTGCCTGCCCCCAGTGTAGGGCCCACAGAGGGCAGCAGGAATTCAAGAGAGACGCAGGGCGACCTGAGGCCACAGGGCAGGTGGGCAGAAAGGGGGTCCAGGACTCGCTTGAAGATGACCAAGACGACAAGTACTAGGCAGATGGCAGCTGGCAGCCTGTGGTGTAGATGGCTTCAAGCAGCTGGCCAGGGCCAGCCTTTGTGTCCTATCAGACCAGGAGCATGACAAGCTGCTCACATAAAACTATCTCACAGGCTGGGTGAGGTGATTCACAACTGTAATCCTAGCACTTTGGGAGGCCGAGGTGGGCGGATCACCTGAGGTCGGGAGTTGGAGACCAGCCTGACCAGCATGGAGAAACCCTGTTTCTACTGAAAATACAAAAAATTAGCTGGGCATGGTGGCACATGCCTGTAATCCTAGCTACTTGGGTGGCTGAGGCAGGAGAATGGCTTGAACCTGGGAGGCAGAGGTTGCGGTGAGCCGAGATCACCCCATTGCACTCCAGCCTGCACAAGAGCGACTCTGCCTCAAAAACAAAACAAAAAAACCACTATCTCTCTTCAGGGAGACTGAACCCCAAATCCCCATGCTCTGCTTGAGGGCATCAAATTGGCAGATGAAACAGCCAACTAGCCATGCTGACCAGTGACAGGCCAGCCCTTCCCAAGGCAAGTTTGTTCTCGTTCCCACACTCCCAAGATCCTCTTCCTGTAATCCCAATAACCCATGAAAATGTCCTGGAAATTCTGACATCTAACCTCTACTTTCCACCGCTCCCTTGACCACCCGGAAGGGGCACATCTTTTTTTTCCTGTTGGATCACATGTCCTGATGTGTGAATTTTGTCAAGATGACCCTCCTATAAGGAGAGGTGGCTGGGAGGACCCTCTGTTCTTGGGATATGAGATTAGGAAGGAAAGATCAACGTGGGAGCATCCATCACAAGGAGGAAGCATGTTCCATGGACACCCAGGCATACTTGAACCTGTGTGGCCCCCTGTATTGACCCTTTTCTGGCTTCCTGTACTCAGCACTTCCTATTGGCCGCTAGGTGATTTCCATAGTGATGATGGACAGGGCTGCCCCCACCCTGCTCCAGGACAGCAGGACACCCGCCTAGGCACCTGGGGGATTCAGGGACTTAGCTGCCTCCCTGGGCTGGCCTCTGCCCCTTAGCATCTCAGCCAGTCCCCTGTCAGCTGATGAGCCAACACCTGCCCCAGGCCCTGGACTGTCACCCTTCCTCACTCCTGCCCCACCTGATAGCTGAGACTTTCCTTGGGAGACACAGGGAAGAAGACTGGAAGGCTCTTCCTGTGAGACCAAGCCCAAGGGAATGGAACAGTCATTTGTGCTGTATTCATTTTGTGATTGATGATCACATCCACACCCGAATTTCTAGTTTCCAGAAGAGGACCCTGAGGCCCAGAGCAGGAGAGGGCTCGCTCCAATCACACAGCAAGAGAACAGCAGAGCCCAGGAGAAAACAAAAGCAGGTCAAAGACCCTTCACCTACCAAATTCCCTCCTGTCTCAGGCCTCTGCACTGCCCCTCGGACTTTATCTCCCCCTGGCCAGCTCCATGCTATCGTTCAGGTTTCAGCTGAAATTCCACCTCTTCAGAGAAGCCATCCCGAGCACCCTATAAAAGCTGCCCCTTGGCAGGGCACGGTGGCTCATACCTGTAATCCCAGCACTTTGGGAGGCCAAGGTGGGCAGATCACCTGAGGTTAGGAGTTCAAGACCAGCCCGGACAACATGGCAAAACCCTGTCTCTACTAAAAATACAAAGATTAGCTGGGTGTGGTGGTGCATGCCTGTAATCCCAGCTACTCACGAGGTGGGAGGCTGAGGCAGGAGAATCGCTTGAGCCTGGGAGGTGGAGGTTGCAGTGAGCCAAGACCATGCCACTGCACTCCAGCCTGGGCAACAGAGTGAGACTCCATTTCAAAACCAACAAACAAAAAAGCTGGCCCTCATCACCTCTCCACACTTTACTCCATGAGAGCGCATGTGTCTGCCCAACATCAGAGGTCATATTTTCATTATGTGTGCTCCGCACACTGGGATGGAAGCTTTGTTCAGGCTCAAAACCTCTCAGCACTTCCTGCGTGACACGCCCAAGGCTAAACACTTTACAGGGAGATTAACTCATTTGATCCTCATAACCACACTGAGGGAGGTACTGTCTTTATCTGTTTTACAGATTAGTAAACCAAGGTACGAGAGGTTAAGTGGCCTGCCAGCATCACCCAGCTGAGAAATGGAGAAGCGGGGTTTGTACCCAGACAAGTGGGTTCCAGAATCTGCCTGGCACTTGGTAGGAATGAATGAATGAATGAATGAATGATGCTGGAGCCTGCCCTTTCCTCCCCACCTCTGTCTCTGACCTTGTCTTCCCCCAAGTCCCCTCCGCTCTTACCTCCATTGGAGAGCTGCAGAGGTGCAGCTGGCACTGTGGCTGCAGCCTTGCCAGCGGGTGTCCAGGGACTGGGCCTCCCCGCCAAGCCAGCCCCGGGTGCCTTCATCGGGGCAGGAGCCTCCCAGGGGCGGCCATGCCGGGCCTCACAAACCGCCTGCCTCACTTCCTCCGCCACAGCCACATCACGGCGCGGGGGTGCCAGGGTGATAAAGACAGACGATGCCACCCTCTTCTCAGGCTTTGAGGCCATGGCTTCAGCTCCTGGTGTGGCTAGGGACAGAATGGGGGACGGCACAGGATTGCCACCCGGACACACAGACACCCTCCCCCGAGGGGCAGCGAGCCTCCTTCCCCCCAAAAAGACAGGTCAGCCACCCCACCATGCCAACAACCCAGTCCGGCACCCAGCCCAGCCACAGAGGGGATGGGGGTGTCCTACTGGGGAGGGCAGGGGCCCACCAGGGGACTTGGCCACAGGGGTGAGACCCCAAAATCCTGACTGCCCCTCCCCGCAACCTTCACACCAAGGGGCGCAAAGGGCACAGATCACCTCACCAGGCACTCCCAGCCTGGAGCCCCACCTGCCTGCTGGGCCACACCCCAAGCTACCTCCCTCACCTGGGATCTGATTCTCCTGGAAAGGCCGAAGTCCAGGAGGTTCAAGCCAGCTCCACTTTGGGAGGGAAAAAGAACCGATTAGGATCTGTCAGAGTGTCAGGGCTGGGCTCCGGCGGTGGTGGGGGGCGGTGGCAGGGTGGGCGGGACGCAGTGAGAGCTATCTTCACCAAGACCTGATCTGCCCTGAGCACGTTATGGTCATTAACTCATAAACTCTCACCAGGGCAGGCACTGTAATCGCCCGCCTAACACATCAAGAATCAAGACTCAGAGAGAAGTCACTGTTCAGGGTCACACAGTGGTGAGGTGGCACTGGAACCCAGAGCCCATGCTCTTGGCCACTTTGCTCTGCCTTGCCCTCTCGGCCTGGCGCACGAGCCAGCACCCTCCTTGCTTGCCTTCTAGTGCCGGAATCTCTCACTCCACCCAATCTCCAAAACCCTGGTCCTGGTTCAGGCCTGGGCAGGGGGCAGCGGGCAAGGGGAGAGATGGGGGGGCTCCACGGCCTCTGATCTCACCTCCTAACCCTAAAGATTGATGTTTCTAGAACGTGCATACTTCTACTTCACTCCAGCCTGGGCAACAGAACGAGACTCTGTCTTAAAAAAAAAAGAAAAAGAAAAAATAAAAAATAAAAAAAAAAAGAAAAAGAAAAAAGGCCAGATGCAGT